GTGAATTTACCTCGAGACAAGCCTTGAATCCGATGGTACTAAGGTGCGAGTTCGCCGGAGCAACCGTGTCGATCCCCCGCCACACTCCCTTGAGTTCCTCCCCCTCACAGGATCTTCTCCCTCTCAAACTCCACCCTTTCCTCTCTCCCTTTCAAGCTCTCTCTTCAAGTTTCCCCCACAAGAACTAAGCTATAATGGCTGCCAAAGACACTTACAAAGTGTCATGCCAAGCTTAAATAGAAGCTCTCAAAATGAGCTCATTAATGCAAGTTGCCAACATTATCGTCCAGGATGATAGGTATATCGTCCTGGCCGATCAGTACAAATTCAGTTCATCAGCCTGGGACAATTTGAGATGATAAGAAGAAAATTGGTTACATCATACAGACCGATCTCACGATCGTCCTGGCCGATTAGTTTAAAACTGATTTCAATCGTCCTGATCATCACCCTGAAAACAAGCTGTCCGATGTAGATCGTCCAGGCCATCATCCTAGCCGATCATGCGATCTTCCCGGATGATGTGATCGTATCAATCAACCATTAATGCTTTCCAAAGATACCAGATCAATTTAGGCATAACTGATTTAGATCGTCCTGGACGACAATAATATCGTCTTGGCCGATTTCCTAAAATAAAGAATTCCTAAACTGATTATGGCGGATGATTTCTTTCTGAATTGAGATTATCATCCTGGCCGATACAAGTATCGTCTAGGCCGATCTGTTGACGGCTGCCTTAATGAGGATGCCCTAATTAGGGTTTCCGATTTTGGACATATCATCTAGGATGATATAAATATCGTCCCGACCGATATTACCAAAAATAGAAATCTTATAGGGAACAATAGGAGATCTTCCAATTTACAATCCAACTGGTCCCATACCAAAAACAACAGACTCAAGAATGGAAAAAGATTACAAATTGACTCAGACCTAGTCTACCCAATCTTGAGCTGGTTCCAAATTGCAGTCTGATCGTGTGGACCTGAAACGTTAGCACAAAAGGCAATCGTAGAGAAATAAGGAATGTTTGCTATCATCAAAATCATAAAACAAGATCCGCAACAATCTCCCCCTTTTTGATGATGGCAAACAATTTAAGTTTAATTTTCAAAAAGAACAATTTCTCCTAATCTCCCCCTCACAAGAATAACACTTTTAAAAAAATAGGAGAGATTAAAATATTTTTGTTGTTTTTAATTTTATGAAAATTAGATGATAACAATACAAAAATTCAACAATACATTCTCCCCCTTTGACATTATCAAAAAGAGAGGAAGCACAAACAAAAACAAAAACAATATTCTTAAAATGAGAAAGTTACCTCTTGGTTTTAATCAAAAATATAGTAGAATCGAATTTGACAACACATAGCCCAGAAAAGGTTAGAAACTCAGAAACTGATAATCCAAACTCAAGTTCTTTAAAAGGCCAAAAAACTTTTAATTCAAGATCTAAATCAAGGAATAAATTAGAGAAAGAAACAATAATTTTTCAAAAACTCCTTCCATAAAATATATCTAATAGAAAATCAATGCATAAATTTTTGAATCAAGAATCAAGATTTTCAAACTCAAGTATCGAAAGTATCAAGGGTTTTCTTGAGTTTTTTAAGAAATATAAGAATGGTATGCAATAACTTTGTGGGCTCATTTTATTCCTCCACCTTTAATTTGAAAGAGAGAGTTCTTGCGTGCTTTTTACACTTGTCGAATCAAGTCAGATTCATGTCGAATTGAGTTGAAATTGATTTAATATAGTTGAATAATTATAAATCTATTTTACATCATTTTATTTTTAACACTATTTCTTTATGTTACCTATAATATTTGTGATGATGATTTTTTGCAAAATTATGAAAAGAAGCTTAGCACTAACTTAAATTAGCAAAAGGAGTTTAGATTAACTTAAAATTTAAAAAAAGAAAAAAGTGAAAATGTTTCGCGTTTTCTGAAATGATTTTCAGTATTCTATTTTCATGAATAAAGATATTAAAGAATGCAGAAATTTAATTTATACATTCTATTATAAACATTTATTTTATTTTTATATAATGAGTAATTAATTTAAGTTACAATATGATTCAATTAAAAGTTAATCAATTTTAAATTAAATTTTAAAAAATATATTTCTTTCTTAAATTTAATAAATATAATATACATATTTATAGTTTTAATTAAAAATAATTTAAATATTAATATATTTTAATTAAAGATACATATTCATTTATATAAGACATGTTTCTCAAAAGGTATGCATCTAACAAAATATCAAAATATACATGGATATAGACTAGTTGAGTGGGCCCATCGAGTAAGTAGTAAGGGATCCACTAAGTGATGAGTGGCGAGTGGGCCTGATGAGTGATCAGTGAGCTTATTGAGTGATGTACTGTGAGTGGTGAGGAGGATCATGAGTCTAGCAAGTTCATAAAAAACTTGGAGAGTCCCTAGAGAATTCTTGGAGTGTATCTTAATCATGACAATGCACATTTAACCTTCCTCGTCTCATGGCAAATTAAGCTTGATTCAGCTAGCCTATTGGCATCTTCCAATATACATATAGTTCTCCAATTTTCTTGTATCTTTGGAGAGTGGCCTTATAAAAGGAGAAGAGAATTAATATAATGAGGCAAAAAATATTATGAGCAAAGAACATATGATAGCTTTCTAAGTTAAGGAATATTTCAAGTGTCATTAATTTGACCTTTTTATTAGCATTTATGTCTTTAGACATTAATTGAGACCTAAGATGGGCCCGCTGAGTGAGCTTGACAATTGAGCCCATCGAGTGAAGAGTAGCGAGTGGCAAGTTAAGTCATCGAGTGAATTGTATCTCTTTCTGAGTGATTTGAGATTATTCCCTTTCGACATATCCTCTCCATAGAGGGGAGACCCATAATAAAAAATGTAACTTTATTAAGTATAGACTATATATCTACTTTGAGGTTGTAGATCTCCTACAAGTTATTTACCTAAGGGCTTTAGCTTACTTGCAGGGAGTTCTCTCATAGATTTTAAAACTTATTTTTAATCTGACATCACTCTAATCTCTAAACTCAAGTTAGCCTACCATATTTATGATTACCTCAAGTGCTCTCCTTTTAGGATATTAATTACTCTAATGTTGATCATAGTCATCAATATGTCAACACTTTAACTAAAACGTTAAGTATTTTTTATTTGGCAAGCAAATTTCGGCATATTTGATGTTCTTGTTGTGAACTAATTTATCACAAATAATTTCATCCTAAATAAAGTATAATATACTCATAATATTCACCATCAATAATGAGCACAAACTGATGATTTAAGGAATCTAGGACAAGAGGAGGAGGTTGTGTGAATGTGCAAGGAGACCAAAAGAGAATAATTCACAATATTTATAGCAAACAAGATCATGAAATAAAATAAATACAAACATATTTAAATCTAGAATAATACCTTTAGTTAATGAAATTTTCATTTTAAAAGTATTTTTTCCAATGCAAATTATAAATGACTATGTCTTTTTCTTTCATTTAATTTCTTAAAAGTTTTTCTTGGAAGTTTTTATATTTTGAATGTACTATTATCTAATCACCTAATTTGAATTTCAGTTTTGTTTCATTTTAAACAAATAATTATGAAAATAACATATTAAACAAATTATTTAAATAATATTATTTAAATAATGAAAAATGCTAAAATATCAACATATGCCCTAATAGATTTAATAATGATTTACCCTAAATTTTTAGATGGCAATAATATGATAAAATTTAAAGGCTGACAGGCCACATAAATATGATATATCAATATAGACAAATAACTTTTTTAAAGAAAACTAATTCCAATAACTTAAATATCATTTATGATGACTATATTATACTTTGAGGTTCATAAAGAGACTTTTAAATTTCAAAATTCTTTTGAGGTATCCATCATCGATAAATTCATTAAGATATAAATGCAAAAAAAAAAAAAATTATATAATTTTTTAATGAATTATGACAAATTGATACCTGTATTATCTAATGAAAGAATTAATTTGGAAGGTGCTATTTGACCAAATCTTTTAAGGGTACTAAGTTTCTTTTTTCTTTATGTTATAAAGAAGACTCATGAGGTAGGTAATTTTGCAATAAATGACTGAATAAAATTTATGTTTTTTTTTTTCTAATACTTAATGAGTTATTATATGTTCATTATTTTAGCACTTTGTAAAATATTGATGAAAAGTTCTAAGAGATTTTTCTCTTTATACCAATATGAGTCATGGATCTAAATATTTGTGAATTCATCTTTAATTCTTTCATTTAAATTTGATTTTAAGTTTAGTAACTACCAATTTGTGTTGGTGTGAATCTTAATGGTTGCAAATTTATATTCACTTCTAAAATTTTTATTGAATGTTAAATTTTGATGATTTTTTATTATCATTTAAAAAAGTATACGTATGTCCAAATTTTACATCAAAAGAAACTATTTTGTATCCGAAATAAGAGTTGGAAAACACTACATGTTGATATTTTATGTTTCTTTATGCACCTCCTAAATTTCTATTAGTGAGCTCTAAATAGTAAATCTTGAATCAATTTATATGTCAAAGCCAATATAGGCATTTAGATAAATCAGATTGAAGTTCATGCAGCTGATTTTGATCTGTTGATTAAAAATTCAAACTATTAATTAAGAAATTTTGAGTTTAAAATTTAAAAAAATATAATGCGTATAAATTTATCTTAATTAGCCTAAATATTCCCATTAAAAAAGAACAATTTACTGAAATATAGGCGGCAATAGAAGAGGATAGTTTGTTGGTGCACAGCTGAGCTCAATGAGTTGTTTCTCCCCTTTTCTCAGCTTCTGTGGTATTTTTTTTTAATCATTTGATCGTCTTGTGGTAATTTGGCTACGAATTTTTGCCAAGAATATAAATTAAAAAACTGAATATAAAAAAATAGAGGTAACATTTGCCCCAAAAGCTAGTCTTCAGAAATAATTAAACGACATACATTTTCCACATTACAATTATAAACTAATCGGCAAGAATTTGTTAAATGAAAGAACAATAATTAGTCATTCTCAAAGAGACTAACGCATAAAATAAATAAATTTGTTGACACGAGTAATGCATAACTAGATACAGCTCTCTATTAAGGTTTGATGACCACATAGACCAACACTTTCTCTGTAAATTGCTGAAAGTAATCTTGTCAAAAAGAATCGTTCATCGAGTCATCGGCTCTCATTTCAGCATCTAGTTCAGGAGCTTCAAAATTATGCAAATCAGTACTCAATTAGTACTCAAGGTTAATCAGTACTCAGCTTACGGCTAGGAAGTAATGGCACACATTTAATAAACAAAAAAGAAAATGGAGGTTTCCAACAATGATCCATTCTACATTACTATCATATGAAAAATAAAGGGGCATCCGAACCTTCACGTTCAGAAATGATGATCATCTTTCTCATACCGCAACAAATAAGCATCTTACCATCTTCATTTCAGAAGAATAATGATAGCTGAAGCTTCAAAGAAGCATTTACGGGGCCCTTTCAAATGGAGATGTGTCTTCATAGCATATATCCCAGACAGCTGCAATGGCATCTTTGGCAGCAGCTTCCGAGCAGTATGGATTATTTTTGACAGACTTCAGAGCTCGCCTTTTTACACACTCCTTCAAATGCCCCAAATGGATACCAGATCGAAGGAAAAAAAAAATACAAATAGAAAATCAAGCCAAGGCAAGGCGACTGGCATCCACATAAATTATTTAAAAGCAGGTGGCTTTTAGCATAAAAAGAAAGCAACATATAACTAAGGTTTTGTTTGGGACGGCTTTCTTACCGCTTCTTCTAGTACAAAATTTTAATTTTTATATCAAAAAGCTGTTTTAAGCAGTAAAAAAGCCGTTCCCAACGAAACCTAAATTGGAGACTCAACTCAATAACAATGACTGCGAGTGCAAACACTCATGTAAGTGCAACCAGAATCCATGTACCCTGAGCGAAAAAGAACTCACTTGCTCATGACCTCGTATTTTCATGAACCCTCGCAGCATTTCCCGCTTATAGTGGCAATCTCCACTTAGATGGTTGGCCCTGATCTGCATCATAGCAATGCAGCAGCTCATTAGCAATTAAAAGTACGGAAACTGGTGGTCAGATCATATAACCTCAATATATTAAAAAGAAACGATAAAAGCAACATTTGGTTAAAAAATGCCCACTAAAAAAATAAACTAGTCATGGATAACCTCAGAGCAAGCATGATGAGCACAATTTTTCCAATCCATGTTCTTAGCACGACAATCATCATAAGCATGAATAAGTTCATGTATTAGAACTTGATTTATCTCATCTTGGTAAGACAGTTGATTGCAACACACAGTAATCTGAGAAGACAGGAAAAAAATGTATAAGCTTGAAAAAAGAGGAAAACAAAAAAACATATATTCCTGAGTCTATCAATGAATATTCAGAATATCATAGCAGTTAAAATTGCAGTAACTCACATCCTAGCAAAAATAAAGCGCATATGCACATCAATCGCCATGCTTCTTGAGGTAGCATTTTCCACAAAGGCTTGATGACCTTCAAATTATTTTTTCATTACTTTATTATTATTAGATTTTTCTATAGCTTATAATTTTTTAATTTCTAATATCTTATTTAAATAAAAAGATGAGCATCTCATCATTTATAATAATGGATATAATAAAACTCATATTGATTATTTTCATATAAGAAAAATAGATCATTTAGACTCAAATATTGTAAAATTATTCCGAGTGAAAGTTTGTGTAACCAACATCGCTTATTAATATTGGATTTTAAGGTGAATGGTAGAATATAAAAATTAAAGTAAAACATCGTTCTAAGATTAGATGGAAACATTTAAAGAATATTAATAAATATATTTTCAAGAATAAGTTTCTAGATATTAAGATTTTGTTTGTGCATGAAAAGTTAATGTAATGTGGAAAAAAATAACTACAACAACATCAAGCTTTAAAAAAAAAAAAACATCAAGCCTTTTGTCCCACTATATGGGGTCGGCTACAAGAATCCTTTTTCGCCATTATGCCCATTTATAAGTCAAATTCTCATTTAAATCTAATAAAGAAAGATCATTTCTAATAACCAAGTCTTTTTAGGTCTGCATCTATCTTTCTTAACATAAATCGAATCTAATACCTCAACTTTCCTAACCGGGTCATCGGAAGGCCTCTGTTTAATGTGACCAAACCATCTAAGGCGGCCCTCTCTAATCTTATCTTCCACCGGAGCTACTCCAACCTTTTCACATATATGCTTATTTCATATCCTATCTTTAAGGGTCAAGCCACTCGTCCACCTAAGCATCCTCATCTCTGCAACACTTAACTTAGTATTACGCTTCTCTTTTAATGACCAATATTCGGCACCATAAATTATTGCAGGTCTCACCACCATCTTATAGAATTTTCCCTTAAGTTTGAGGGGGACTTTTCTATCGCACAATAAGCTCGATGCATTTCCTCCACTTCAACCATCCAACTTCAATTATGCTGATAATATCCCCATCTATTTTACCATCACTCTGAAAAATAGAACCAAGATACATAAAACGTGTACTCTTATTAATGACTTGATAGCCCAAAGTCACAATCCTCTCATTAGGTCTATTGTTACTAAAATTACACTCCATATATTTAGTTTTAAATCTACTCAAGAAAAAACCTTTAGACTCTAAGGTTGACCTCCATAATTCAAGTTTACCTTGAACTCCCTCTCTAGTGTTATCAACAAGAAGAATATCATCAGCAAAAATCATACACCAAGGTACATCCTCTTGCAAATGTCTGGTGAGAACATCCATGACTAAAGCAAAAATATATGGACTTAAGGTTGAGTCTTGATGTAATCCAACCGAAATAGGAAAATATTTGATCAAACCACCTTGTGTTTGAACACAAGTAATAGCTACTGCATACATATCTTTAATGATTTGAATGTAAGCATTATTAACTCCTTTCTTTTTAAGAACTCTCCAAAGCACTTCTCTTAGAACTTTACCATATGCTTCCTCTAAATCAATAAATATCATATGTATATCCTCCTTATTCTCTATATATTTCTCCATTATACCTCTCAATAAATGTATGGCTTCCACAGTAGATCTACCCGGCATGAATCCAAATTGATTTTGAGAAACATTAGTATCACGCCGCAACCTATGCTCCATAACTCGCTCCCATAGTTTTAAAGTATGACACATTAACTTAATTACTCTATAATTCGCATACTCCTGTGCATCACATTTATTCTTAAAAATAAGAATTAACACAATCATTCTCCACTGATCTGACATCATTTTAGTTTTCAAAATAGTATTAAAAAATTTAGTAAGCCAAGAAATTCCTTCATCTCCTAAGGATTTTCACATCTCTATTGGAATATTATCAGGTCTAACAACTTTTCCACACTTCATTTTCTTCAAAGCCTCTCTAACTTCGGTTTTACTTATATGACGATAAAAATAAAAATATTTATTTTCATTTAGGGTGATAAAATCACAAAAGTCAATCGTAATTTCACATTATTCATTAAAAAGTTTAGCAAAATATCTCATCCACCTTTGTTGAATATCATTTTCTAAACAAAATATTTTTTAATCTTCATCATTAATACACTTCACTTGAACTAAATCCTCACTACTCATATCTCTTTGTTTGGCTAATTTATACATATATCTTTATTTCTCCTTAGTATCCAATCTATTATATAAATCATTAAAAACTAAGCTCTTTGCATCGCAAATTGCTTTCTTAAAATTCTTACGAGCTTCTTTATATCTTTCCCAATTATCAAAATTTTTACATCTAAACAAATTTTTATAACAAAACTTCTTATTTTTTATCTTTTCTTGCACATTTGGATTCTACCACAAACTATTTTTACTATTATGAGCTTTTTCCTTCGAAACTTCAAGCACATCTTTTGAAATACTCTTAATACCACTAGCCAATTTTTTTCACATAATATTAGCATCCTCATGCACAGACAGAAACTTAAGATCTAAAATCTTACTCTCAAAAATACATTTGTTAATATTCTTTAGATGCCCCCATCTAATCCTAAAAAATTATTTTACTTTATTTTTTTTTTTTACCCATTTATTTTAAAGTCCAAAATTAATAATCGATGTTGGGTGCATAATTTTCACTCGGAATAACTCGACAATCTTTGCAATCTAAACGATCTAATTTTCTTATAAGAAAATAATCAATATGTGTTTTACTATATCCATTTTTATAAGTGATAAGATGCTCATCTCTTTTCTTAAATAAGGTATTAGCTATTAACTATTAAGAAATCATAAGCTAAAGAAAAATTTAATATAGTCTTATCACCTTCATTTGTCGTTTCAAACTCATGGCCACCATGGACGTTTTTAAATCATTTACATCTTTATCAACATGTCTATTCAAATCTCCTCCAATAAAAACTCTTTATTCAAGAGGTATCTATTGTATTAATTCTTCTAAGTCATTTTAAAATTTTAATTTTGAACTCATATCCAAACTTACTTGAGAAGCATAAACACTTATAATATTAACAATCTTAGCATCAACAATAATCTTTAAAGCTATAATTCTATTTCCAATTCTGTTAATTTTTATAACATTATCCTTCAAACTCTTATCTATAATCACACATATATTATTTCTAGTACGACTCCTACCCGAATATCATAGTTTGTATCCTAAACTACTAATCTCCTTAGCTTTCTCTCCAACCTATTTAGTTTCCTGAATGCACAAAATATTTATCTTCCTATAAATCATAATATCTATTAATTCCATTAATTTACCTGTAAGGGAGCTTATATTCCAAGTTCTTATCCTAATTTTAGTTTTATGGACTAGCTTCTTTGCTCACATCTGTCCTTGATGTGAGAACCCTTGCCTATTTAACACTGCACCCGGGCGCCGATGTGCTACAAAGGATGTGCTTGGAAAAAAAACAAATGATTTTAAAAATGCTACAAATGATGTGCTTGGAGTTGCAAAGGAAAAAGCTCTTAAAAGTAAAAATAATTGGTGATTGAATCAAAATGCGTAAGAAAATATAAAAAATAAGAAGTATTATTATAAAAATTCATTTAGATGCAAACACTCTGAAAATTGGGAAATATATAAATAGGCTTGCAAGGAGTCTAAAAAAGCAATATGTGATGAAAATATTTTAACTTTTAATGATTTATATAATATATTTTATACTAAGGAGGGTGAAAGATATATGTATAAATTAAACAAGATAAGAGTAGTAATAATTTAGTTCAAGTGAAGTGCATTAAGGATAAAGATCAAAGAGTGTTTTTAATAGAATAGGAAATTCAACAAAGATGGATGAGATATATTTCTAAACTTTTTAATGAAGATTGTAAAAATATGATAGAATTTAGTGACCTTAGCAACCTAAATAAAAATAAATATATTTGCTTTTATCAATGTATTAGTAAAACTGAAGTAACAGAGGCTTGAAAGAAAATGAAGTGTTAAAAAGCGGTTGGACTTTATGATATTCCAATATAGCTATGAAAATACTCAGGAGATGAAGAAATTTCTAGGTTTACTAAATTTTTAATATTATTTTGAAGACAAAAAAGATGTCAGATGAGTGGAGAATGAGGGCTTTAATTTCTATTTTTAAGAATAAAGGTGATGCACAAGATTGTGTGAATTATAGAAGAATTAAATTAATGTGTCATACTTTAGAACTATGGGATAGAGTTGAGCATAGGTTATGCCATGATACTAATGTTTCTCAAAATCAATTTGGATTCATGCCAGGTAGGTATACTATGGAACTATACATTTATTGAGATATTTGATAGAGAAGTATAGAGAGAATAAAGATGATCTACATATGATATTTAATGATTTAGAGAAAGCATATGATAAAGTTCTAAGAGAAGTGCTACAGAGAGTTCTAGAAAAGAAAGGGATTAATAATGTATATATTGAAGTCATTAAGGATATATATGTAGGAGTTGTTACTTGTGTTCAAACACAAGTTGATTTGACCAAGTATTTTTCTATTTCAGTTGGATTACATCAAG